AGTTTGTGTTGGTATCTAGGGCACTTGACATGGGCCGTTCCTTGCTTCGCTCCACACCTTTCCTCTCAAGCAACATGCCTCGGGCGAGGTTCAAGAACATGCTTCGGCGTGCTTCGCTGGCTGAACTGCGCGGAGGAAGACGTCGCCTGTCAGGTGTGCAGGCGGCTGTTCCTGCACATGACTGGCGTCGAGAAGACGAGCGGCGGTCAGTGAGCCAGACCCTTTGTCAAACGAACGGAGCGATAGGACGCTACCAGGGGCTTGTGGCCGTACTACTATAGGAGCAAAGGACGCTACTAGGAACAAACGGCATCGCTACGAACGGAGCGAACGAACGGGGTTGTGCTGGATGCCGGTAAGCCGAGACTCCCATTGGCACCGTGAGTCAGGGCCGGACCGACCGCTGGATGACCGGTCTCCAACTCCTAAAGGTGAAGCACCAACGGCACCAACACCCCATTTCCTCACTGAACTTCCTCGCGGAACGGCTTCACGACCGCTCTGCACCACGAAGATCACTGGAACCATATCACTGTTCCCCCGTCGGCCTAGCGGCGGCTATCGCGTGGCGTTGTGCTTCGTGTCCACGTCAAACCTCCTCCCAGGCAGGCCAGGTTTATCAGCTCCTTCCAGCCAACCGAAGACCTGACGTAGACGCCATATAGGTCCAAGACATGACGCCATCCATCCAACGAACCGCTGGTCGCCAACCGGACGGCTCACTGGGCTTCCGCGGCAGAGGCGGCCTGCTCCAGGTGGCCAAAAAGCATCACGACCTGGAAAGAACGAGCGACGGTCCGTCAAAGCCGCGAAGTCCAACGTGAAAGCGCAGTGAGTCCTTTTGTGATTCTTTGTTTTAAAACTGCCCTGCCCAAGGCTTTCGTGGAAAGGCTGTAGATGGTCTTGAAACCACCCAGCCGGGCAGGGGGTTGCCAAGGGAACCGCATCGCTCCACATTCATCGGAACAGCCGTCGCGGTTACACATTCCTTTCAATGGGGAGCCAGAAAAAACATACAGAAACTTGCATACACTTGCGGCGGTTTCCGCTGCGTTTCTTTTCAGAAGCTTTTTGTGACATGACTTTAGGTTTTTGACCCCCCCCCAAAGAACCCCCCTCTTTTTTGGGCCAATCGTTCCGGCTCTTATTCGGCCGCCTCCTTCCGCTTCGCCGCATCTCCGGCCTGGCGGGGCGGTGCGAACGACCGCTGGCAGCGAGGTCGGGGTGGCCTTCTTCGTGAATGGGGGTGTAGTTGTTCAAAGTGAGGGGCCCCAGGACTGGCCCGGTTTCTGCACCAAAAAAGGAGAAAAAGCGGGCAAGATGTCATACGGTTGATGGAGCAAATCCTGCACCACTGGAAGAACAAACCCATGTATACCCTCGTGCTCCCTCTTTGACATGGAGTTGAGGAAATACTTCAAACAGAAAAATAGTAATGACCAAAATCCTGCATCACACACAACAAACGTGAGACAACATTGAGTTGGGGTGCACGCTGATCTGCGCGACTTTTTGGAGGACCACATGCGTTGCTTTATTGATGCAGGATTTTGTCCATCAACCAGGATTGCACAATTGCTCCAGTGACCCACCCCCCCAGCGGTTCGAACTCCATTTTCATGACATACAACATATATCGTCCCATCTTTTCTTTTTTCACATCTTCAAGTGAGCGACTAGCCGAATTCCGTTCAAAGCTGGTTTCCCTCGACGCCAGCTCTTATCTCGTGAACCCATGGATGAATGTCTTAATCCAAGAAGAACACCTTTTTCCCCAAACAGCTTACTGTCAAAGGAAGCCTTGAGCACATTAGGTTTTACCATGGAGAGCTCGGTTGAAGCATCCTGCAGGATACACCTGTGATATGCTGCACACTTTCTGTCGGATCGTGTTGTTTGGATGTGAACGGCGCCATGTCGTCGCCGGCAATCGGCGTTCACGTTCTTTAAGGGTTTACCTTCCGAGACCTTTGATGAACACGTTGCAACACTCAATCCCAAGCATGTTAGTTTGTATGAACACCTCAGAGCTGGTGCGTTGGTCACGAACGATGTCTGCACATTCACGCCCTGGTTGGCCAAATGCCCCTTGTGTGATGGACCTGACTTGATTCATCATAGACTTTTGGAAGTGTTGTGCAACTGAGGCGGTCCGAAGGTGGCTCACTGAACGGAGACTTTCGAGGTATCTTGCCCAAGCATTCCAGTGTATTTTGCTTTGTTTGAATCAACACTCCGGGGCTGTGAGCTTTTGGCTAAGACCTCGGTGGCATGCATTTCTGAGTGGAGATGCATTTCTGCTTATGAAGACATTGATGGTTCTTGTTGTTTCCCCTCTTGTGGCAAATGGAGGTTTGCGGGGTTCGTGGTCACCAGGGTTTTCTCTTGTGGTGAGAATCAAATTGTTCTTCAGCCCTCTTTACCTAGAGCAAATCAAACCATTCATCGAACTGCTTCTTTTATTGCTGGTTTAATGTCGGTAGTTTATGTCCCGAACTCCCGACTTCATAGCGATGGCCAAGCTTTTGTTGGTGCAAATTACTTGATGTCTCGTCTTCGATGGGCCCTTGGAATCCTTCGAGGACCATCCAATACCAGCACCCGACCGACTTCACAGGTCACCACCTGCGACGTTGAAGTCAGTCTGCAAAAGCCACCAACAGGAGACCTGTTGGATGGTCCTGGTCTTGCATCGCAACTGCGTTTTGCCGGATTGAAGCTCCTCTGCCGCTGTGTGGCAGTCTTCGGGCCTGCGTCCCGGGCCACTGGTGGTGACAAAAAGGAAGAGTCTGGTGACAAGCTGCCGGTAGTGCGAGAGGCACATCCTGCCCCTCATACAAGTCGGGCAGGTTTCTTTCTCGACCTGCTTGTTTCTCTGCCTCGTGTGCCTCCGAGGCAACTGCAAGCTGCTCACCACATAACGTGACCAAGCCCTAGCAGCTCAACACCCCAGTTGAGTTGTGAAGAAAAGGAGAACAAGCACAGCAAAGGAAAAGGTATGACCGGCTTGTTGAGTTTCAGATCCTCACGTGTTGTTCTTTGTGGGCGCGGCGATCATCGCAGACCTTTGAAGAGCTCCCACTGCGTGGCGTGGCACGTCCGGTCGACCTACCAAGTGACACCCCTGGGCAACCCGATCGCAGTGGATCGGAGATCCCAACTGGAAAGGTGGACGAAGCCCCCAAGGTCGTGGGCTTGTCCAAGCTCCGAGAAAAACACAAGACACATATCGAAATCCCATCGAAATGGATGATCAGTCTTTCAGGAGCCAAAGCTCCAATCGATGGTGGCAGGAGCCAAAGCTCAAAAAAGAACCACCACAGCCACTCCGTGACCCGTCAAGCCATCCTCTGCATCTGTAAAGCCCTGCCTTCTGGCCTCTGGGGCTTCTCATGGCCAAAGCGTTCCTGACAGTCAGCGATGCTTGGATGCTTACACGCCCTGAAATAGTCATGGAAAGTGGAGCACCCCTCTCTTTGTAGAGGAACATTGTTTTCCAAGGGACCATTTTCCACTTCCAGTGTAGATCTTCCACCAATGAGTAGCCCAAAAAACCATCAGAAACCGTCAGAAAGCGTTTCTTCTCCCCCATGTGTCCCACAGAATCTGGCTTCAACTTGGGCTTGCCGCCCATGCGTCGCCCAAAACGCCATGTCTCCCGTCGGGTGATCCCTCAGTACTCATTGTGCGTCTGGACAACGACTGGAGATCTGAAATGGTGCACCGTGGGACGACCGAATCACACGACGACCTGAAGGTGTGGAAGAAAACGACTCGACCCACCCGAACCGACCGACCCAGCCGGATCCGACCCACGCGACCGGTGAACCGAAAGCACCGAACAACGCACCGAGGGTCGACGTCGCTTTTCGAGACCGGATGGACCCGGTGACCTGCCACATGGCCAGCTGCCACGTGTGGCCCCCACCACCCACGACACACCCGGCCGAACGCACACCCGGCCATTGACGGGGAGCGGAGCCGAACGGGCCGAACGGGGCCTCCGGAAGAGGCCAGAGGTCACCTGCGGAGGCGGTGCAGGCTAAGTGACGTCAGCTGGCCTCCATGTTGAAAACGTCTGCTTTTCAAGTGCAAAACCCTTAGTAAAGCAGCTGGTCTGGTTTGGGTTTCTGTACCGGTTATGAAATAATTTGTGGGCCACGACCTCAACATCCCTTAGATGTTTCAGTGGACTCTTTTCGCCTTTTCCTGCTGGTGCCCCTGACGCTGCCGCAGCCCCTCCATTGCATGGTGCGCACGACACATGACATCCAGCCAGCGACCTCCCAAAACAGCCCGCACTCCAACAAAGGTGTGTCAGGACCCGAACATTCGCCTATCCCAGTTGGGTACCCCAGGTGACAGGTCCTATGGTCCCGGTCACATCTATCACCTCTCTTGGTTTGTCCACGGTCCTTTTTCAACCGCAAACGATCGGGATGCACATGCTCCTCGATGGTGCCATCATCCTGCGACGGAAGGGTGACAATCCGTCCGGACGTGTCAGGATCCGTTCTCTGGGTGGGACAAGGCATGGTTGGACATTCAAGTCGTTCTCAACATCGAAACGATCTCTTCAGCTCGGCATTCGATTCTCTGAAAGAAACATAGGGTGAATGAGGGAATGCTACTAGGAACAAGAAGCTTCTAGGGGCTCCTGGCATCGCTACTAGGAGCAAGGACGCTACTAGGGGCTCCTGGCTGTACTACTAGTAACAAGAAGCTACTAGGAACAAGGGAATGCAGCCTGTCTTGTTGGGCAGTATCTTTGAGCAACACACCAACACACCCGGCTTCCTGCTTACACGACCGGTGCAGCCAGCTGCGAAGGCTTCGTTGAATTCACACCTCCGCCGGCCCAGCAGGCGCCCAGGTGTAAGTCCCATACTGCATCCGTCTTCTCCAAACCAATCCGTCTTCGACAAACGTAGGGAAGCATGATGGTCACCAGGAGCAAGGACCCCCTCCACCAAGGACCAGAACCAAGCAACCCCGTCCGTTCAAACACCCAAGCAGCCCCTCCGCTCTCTCTTTTTTTCCGCGCGCATTCGTCGGCGGACATCTCCATCTCCTCGTACATCAAAGGCCGGTCGGTCCGTCCGCTCCTGAGCCCACGTTGACGTGGACGGAGCACATAGTGCCATGCCGGATGAACGAGGCGTTTCGGACCCCCGACGTCCCAAACAGCGAAGGAACCGACGTGAACAAATTGGTTCACCGCCCCAGACGGGCAGACATAGAGCTCCAGACATTCCCACACAGTGCCACGCTAGTAGTAACAGGTGCCTTACTAGTAGTTGTTTGCTATTAGTAACAAAAAGGGCAAGAACCTGCGCAAACGAGCTGGTAGCCGGTAGCGTCCTTTGCTCCGTTTGCGTTAGCGCGATGTTCTCGCCCCGAACGGAGCCTTTCCCGAACGTAGCGAACATTGCGGCCAGTTCGTAGGACCGGCCAGGAGCCCCGTTCGTAGCGTCCTTTGCTCCTAGTTAAATGTCCAGATCCTTCCTCATCCAGCATGGAGAAAAGGAACTCCAAAAGGGCACGCCATGGGGCGTCTGGGCGCGGACGGTGAAAAAAGAACCACACACTGAGCTTGTAGTTCCTCGATTTTCTGGTTGTCAGGTCAAAAGTGAGTGTCGATTCCGCACTGAAGACACACAAAACCCATACACGAGCTGTTTGGGACTACCAGGACGGACTGCCGCCGAGAGTTCCGGCCAGGGGTGGTTGGTTTGGGCGGCAGGCCTATGGGAGTCCCAAACAGGTCTCTCCACGTTCATCCTGGTGCTTCCGCGCCGCAGGAGGCGCCGCAGGCGGGTCAGGCAGCTTGATCTGGGCGAGAGCGCTTGGTGCAGGCGAACTTTGGAGGGGTTACAAGCCTTACAAGCCATGAAAGTGGATATCGCATTGATCTTCGACATATGACATTGTAACTGACATTGTATTCTCCAGTCTCCAGGTACGACCCGCACCCAGTACCAAATTAGACTGAAGACTCAATCCATCTCCGAAATTCAGAACATTCAGGTGGAGTTTCGAACTGGTCAACACACCAACCGGTCGAAACACCACCCCAAGCCATGGTCATGCCATGTCATGCCCCCCAAAAACAGTTCCTGATTTTCGCCTTTGGCATCCAGGCCACCGGCTGCAGCTCTGGCAGCTCCTCCTTCTCCTCCGGCATCGTCTCCGCCTTCGCCTGGTCCGCAGAAGCGCGGCTGGGCCGCGCAAAGGTCTCATCCCAGGCCGCGAAGGTACCTGAGAACACGGCGAAGACGAGGCGGAAGAGCAGACTGAGGCTCTTGGCTCTTGGGACTTGACGTGAAGTTCAGATCCAACGTGCAGTTCAGATCCAACACAGACCCATGTTCCAACTATATAGGGGCTCCTGGCCTCCACTACTCTCCGGAGGCGAGAAGGACGCAAAAACCGAACGGAACAAGACGGGCATCGCAGAGCGAACGGAGCGATCGGACGCTCCTGGCGACGTTGCGACGTCGTCGGTCATCCGGTCACGCCACGCCACTTGGCCCCGAAAACGAAAACGGCACGCCAGTGTGTTTTGCTGGGTAAAAGAAAGGTTCTCTCAAAAGAAATGATATCCCATACCTCAAAATGGGAGCTTTAACTCACAAGTGTAACCAGGTGAAACCAACGACTGCGGACCATGTCCACAGTGCCTTGCGCCAATGAGCTGCGCGCGGCTCATTGGCTGCGCGACTGGCACCCCCCCTGCCCTGCCAGGATGGCTTTGCACCGCACTCGTACCGTCCGTGTACCATCCGTACCCCTGTCCCACCCGCACGGACTTCAACCCCATACGCTAGCGCCTCCAACCTACTAGCGATGGCCTCCAACCTCATTTCCTCTTCCAGGTGCTTTTCCTCATTTCCTCCTCCACCTGCTTCAGCAGTTGATCCGCCGTGCCCTGCTGCACCGCGGCATCCAGCCCCAAGACCCCTCAGTCCGGACACGGACCGATCCCATGAACTGGTTTGACACCGAAGGAAACAGACCCAGACACGACCTGTCTGGGACTCTGGTCTGGCCTGCCGCCCCCCCAACTGATTCCCCAGTTATACTCCTGGCCGGAACTTGAAGGCAGTCCGTCCTGGCAGTCCCAGACAGGTCGTGTCTGGGAGATATATCTTCGTCAGTGGGTGAACACCATCTCAAGTAAAGGTTGATAAACAACACATGTCTGAAACCACCACCCGGTCAAGGTGTCAAACTGCAGTTTGACAAACTGATTACATCCGTGCAACTTGACACGTGGATCACACTGACTTGGAGGACGACGGAGGGTTTTGTTTGCAATACTGCAACGTGTACTGCTGGATCTCTCTTGAAACTGGGGCTCCTCCGTACAAGAGACACTGGTTGTACGAAGACACATCCTATGCGGCGCCCAAAAACGCTTCACGGCGCTCGGCGCTCGGAAGTGGCTTCTCCATGTATTCGATAGATCTGTGTGGCTTCTAAAAGCACCCCGTGGATTAAGGGCGAACGACAGGAGCATGTTCTGCGGCTTCCAAGAAAGACTCCAAGATCACCAGAGCAAGACTTATTCAACCCAAGAAAGCCCCCAAAACCAAAGCCTTACAGTCAGTGGCTCATGGGACATTTCATCCCCCCCCAAAAAACATACAATGCAATACAATGCATATAAGCAAAAGCAATTAGTACATAATAAGCAGTACACCTTCTGACATACATAAGCCATAAGCAATACCGCCTACTCACAGGCTCGGCTATTCTTCTTGTTCCTCGAACTGACCGAGTTCGACCGACCGACGGCCAAGACCAGCCCAAGGCGCGAGAGTTTTGGAGCTCGGGCGACGTGACCCGGACTTGTCGAAAGGCTTCCTCACCGGGAGGACCCTCCTGACGACACCCGGTCTCTCCGGAGACCCGGTGGAGGTGCGGGGCGGCCGTGGAGGTGCAGGCCGCGGCCGATGTGTCACGGTCTTTCGGACCGTCAGTTCAGTTGGAATGGTCAGTTCGGGTGAAGCTTTGGTTTCGGTGTGGGTGGACACCGAAGTGCCAGAAGTGGACCATCTGGAAAGAACGGCCACGTCAATCAGCGGCTCTTCGACTCTGCTCCAAGATGTGCCGCAACATACCAATACGAAATGGCCCTCATCACCATGCGGGCTCATTCGCATGTGACTGCGGGACCAGAACCACACCGCTGACCAAGACATAGAAATTCGGAGAACATCCACATTCTGATCAAACCCAGGTCAGCACCCAGGTCACCCGGTCAGCACCCGAGCCAACATACAGATCGTCGTACAGATCGTCGTCCAGCTCGAACGGACCAGACCCGACCCGACCCGAACGCTGGTAGTCCAGCTCGAACGGTGCGGTGCGAAGGGTCGTGACCCTGGCGGTTCGGAGGTGGTCTGGAAACCAGAACGGCCCAGGTCGTTCACCGGTTGTTTTTTGAAACCAGGTCGGCGACGTGGGGAGACTCGACGCGGGAAGGCGAAAGAAGCCGACGAAGACCGTGGAAGGACCGCTCCGACGGTTCAGGACCGGACCGGACGAGACGAAGGCCTTTCCATTGGGGAAGCGGGAAGGGTGAGTGCTTCGGTCTCCCTATCCCCTGACCATTCCTCCACTGTATCCCAAATAGAGCTGAAAAGGCAACAGATCGATGGAACAACAAGGACGCTACGAACGGGGCTCCTGGCCGTACTACTAGTAACAAGTTCGGAACCCCGCCGACTCCGACGTTTCATCGCCTGGCGAAGCTCCATGACGGGAACCCTCGGCTGAGAGCGAAGGGCGGGAGCGAAGGGCACAAGAAGCGAACGGAACAAGACGGGCATCGCAGACCGAACGTAGCGATCGGACGCTATTAGGTAGCTCCTGGCATTAGAAGCAAGGACGCTACGAATAGGGCTCCTGGCCTTACTACTAGGAGCAAGAAGCTATTAGGAACAAGAAGCTACGAACGTAACAAGGGGAATCACCTACATAATGATTGTACCAAAACACCCCGCATTTCTAGCTACACTCTGACGATGTTCGCCACCTGGAAGAGGAATTGAATCGAAATTGGGCAGCTGGAAGACCATTTTCCTTTACCAACAGGTGGTTTTCCACTTCCATGTTAGTGTCGGAGGGTACCAGAAAAAACCTGTTGGAGGGTGCTGGTAGATGTTAAAACATGTTAAGAGATCCCAAATTGACGCTGGAGAGATAGATTCTTTTGGGGCTCAAAGGAAGGAGCAAATTCCTTAGACCATTGCAGCGACGGGAAAGCCCATGCCCGGTTGGGACACTTCAAATTGACCCTTCCTCTGTTTCTTGTGCTGCCGTTGTGTTGATCTACGATCTATGAACAAGTTGGAGGAATGAACCCTTGTCAAGTAGAAGACTCCTTCTTCTCCCCCATCTCCTTCTCATCTCCTTCCGCAGTTCCTTGGAGCCCTTCACCGGAAAAGCCCCCCCCCCCCGGGTCTGCAAAAACGACCGTCCGGGTCGGTCGTTTTTGCAGCGCCCAAAGGGAGACGGACGGAGCGTCCGGTGGTTTTGGAGGATGTGTCTTCCCTGGGAGTCAACGACTATAAAAAGAATGGTCTGACGAACGGGGACCTAAAAGGGAACTTCCTTTACTTCAGCCGGTCCCATCCTTTACATTTCTTTCCCATCCCTTGGAGCGAAATCCCTCTCGGCGGGAGCACGACCCTTGTCACGACCATCCGAGGAGCGCTTTGGGCACCTCCACTTCATCCTCCGAGTCCTCAAAGACGCGCCGCCGCTTCAGCCGCCGTTGCTTCGGCACCGGCGCCTTGGTCAGGGTCTGAAACAAGCGATGGAACACCGCACGACCCATGGCGCCTTGATGGGTCGACGCATGGCTCGTGGCTCGTGGTCGTGTTCGCTTCGCACCGTACCAGACCCTACGCGGGCGCGGGGGGGGTGAGAAGGACCACCCTAAGCTGGTCCAGACCCAAAGCTGGTCCAGTCCTGATCGGTTTTGCATGACCGGACTCTTTTGAAATGAGGTCCGGGATGACCTGGCCACGTGTGGCGATCGCCGTCGCTGGTGCGGCCGATGGTCTGCAGTCGCTGACAGTGATGTATGGGAAAAATGGAGGGGATCCTCTGCCTGGTACCAGATACCCATACCCAAACACTCCATGGGACTGGCACCTTTGACCTTCATCGGGGTGCTTGAAATGGGGTCAATGTATCTAAATATGTCATACAGTACATCTGGAATAGATCTGGAATCGATACCATATTGGCTGTTCACTTGGTTCTTCTTCCCTCTATCCAACATCATCCAACCAAGGATGTGAAAGGCCATCGGTTGCTTCAGTCGCTTGCGGATCCGCCCATCCCAAGCCCACCTTGGCTTCGTGCTCGAGGTCCTCTGTCGGCACTGGCACGGACTTCTCAAAGACCGCGGACGCCTGGCGCGGTTCCGCCGGAGCGCACGGCGGCGTTCTTGTTGATCCCAACATGCTTCCAATCCAAAGAGTCCGCTTCAGTCGAGTACGTCACCAAGAACGCTTTTTGAGGGACATCTGACAAGCTGACAATGGGGGTCTGCAAATGGGAGACAGCATCAAGTTCGGAAGCAGCTGGTAGATCTGTCCAAGAATCAAAGGTTGTTCAGGATCCAGGCGATGACATCAAATCAGATCAGCGCTTGGAATATCTTGGAATCCCAACGGGTCCTCTCCAATTCATTGGGTCCTCTCTGTTCTCCAACCGGAGCTGTTTCGATTCCGGATCTGACCTCCGCCAAACGCTTCATCCGCTGGCTGAGGCTCCGGTCGACCTCCCCGGCGCCGCTGGCGCCGTCTCGGAGGTCTTCGTAGCTCTTCAGCTGGGCTTCCTTGGGGCGGAGCAGAGAGAGCGGTTCAGCAACCTTGAGGGCTGATGGATGCGGAGGGCTCAATTGGGTGGCTTTTTCGCTTCGTTCTTTTGGGAAGTCTAGAGAGACATGTCCATACCGAGCTAATTGTGATGTTTCATTACACGTTCTCCCAGTTCTCCCCCATCAACAAATCGTCTTGACTTTGGCTGAAATGTTTCCTTTCACGTTCCATTTCCTCCAGCTCACCTCCAGCCTCCAGCTCACCCCCCGACCGCCACCGTGGCGCCAGGTGGGAGACATCGGGCGGCGCGGGAATGTGGACCTCCACCGGCTTCCTGAGGCGCCACCGACGCCCGGCCGAACCGCGCCGCTGCGCTGCTCGGGTGACCTGTTGGAGGATGCGTTCGGGTGACCTTCGGTGTTTGGGGAGGATCTTCCGTGGGTTGACGCGCTTCATGACGAGAGACTGTTCTCTCACTTGGAGAGTCGCATGCCTGAACGAGTTTCTCACGGTGCCCAACAAGTCAAAACAGGCTGCAACGGTTGACCATGCAAACTAGCAGGTCACAAGTCCTCTTGTTCGACCACTTCTTCCACCCACGAAAAGCGAGAATAGATTCGTCGAATCTGCGGACTCTTCGTGCTCATCAAAAAAGCGCCACTTTCTCCACTTCGGCCACCTCTGGTGACCTGGACATCCCGCTCGCCGAGCATCTCCTTCGCCTTCATCCGATGCCAAGCTCTGGTGTCCGGCAGCGGCGTCTCGTGCGTCGCGCCGCGCTCCGCGCGGCCGCGGCCGTGGGCCGAGGCCAAGGCCTTGCGCTCCAGGAGGTGGCCGTACTTGTCGAAGAAGAGGTTGCGGTAGCTCGCGCGAAGGCCTGTGGTAGCTCGGCGGCTGGAACACGTGACGCGGGGCACTCGCAAGCGGTCACGATGGGACTGGAGGGGTGCAAATGGGTGAGGTGACTGTGGGACATGATGGGACCGGTATTTTTTCTCTAAATTCCCTAGGGCTCCAACCATATCCTCAGAAGGTTGTTAGACCCCCCAAACCCACCCCAACCATCTTCTCAGGAGCTGGTTGGAGCCCTAGGGATTGAAGAGGTTTGAGGCGTGGAAGGACGGCGAGCCTTGATGTCCTGACATGTATGTCGTAGGATCGGCAGTGTGTCCTTCGCCCAAGAACTGTGTCCTTGCTCCTAGTAGCGATGCCCGGGTTCCTAGTAGCGATGCCAGGAGCTACATTCGTAGCTTCTTGTTCCTAGTACTCTTTCCAGCCTCATCTTGACATTCTCGCTATCTGTGACCTAAGCCCTCTGCTAAGCCCACCCTCTTCATGTTCCTTCACGAACTTCTCCCACAGTTCTTCTGGCACCGTTTGCCATTCGTCTCACCCTTTGGCGACAGAGACGGTTCCGAGGCGAAAAGGGTCCTTCGACTGTCCACCCCCTTGCCATTCCCTGTTTTCTTCAAACGGCGTAGTGGTCAGTGGTCTTCAGCCATTGACCTAACAACCTACAGCCATTGCCTTTTTACAGCTGCTCATTTCTGGTGCTCCCTAACTGACTTGATCGAACATGGATCGTTAGCAATGTAACAAGCAACCGAAGGGTGGTAGAACTTGGAGCTTGCCGATTGGACTTTGTGACTTCAGGGCCCAACCTAGAAACCAGGCATCGCTACTAGTAGCTTCTTGCTACTAGTAGCGATGCCCTTTGTTGCTAGTAGCTTCTTACAGACATGAAACCACAGTCACAGACTTTTCACCCCCAAAAACCCTTCCATCACTCCACCACTCCCTTTCTTTTCCGAGGCACCCACCGACAACGCCTGCTCCTGCACCAGGTAGCGCAGCGCCGCGGGGAACTCCAACAAGATTTGCTCGGACATACAGCGCTTGCGGACCACGTGGACCTTCTCCAAGATCCTCAAAACGCCGCGCAGAAAACGAAGCCGGCGGTGGCGCCGCTTCGCGCGTTCGGCCCCACACAGCAGGCGGTCTTAGAGCCATGAGCGGGTTCTTCATCGGGAATCCTGTCTGTCCACCGAGGCCGTGATACGTGTCAGTCCGGGAGCTCTTCCGGAAAAGATCAACCATTGACATGCATTTTATGAGCATACCCAGACGCGACCCATGGGACTGCCATAGGACTGCCGATCAGGCCAGGGGTGGTTTGAGGGGTCAATGTAGGCATATATGGCAGTCTCATGGAGTGTCTGGGATAGGACCTGTGTAGATCGGTGATTTGCCGAATGACTTTGCCTTGAACACCCACCCTCCGGTCTTGGCTGGGGCCTACGAATCCAGAGTCACCAACTGCTCAGCATGATCAACTCCGTTTGGACTTGCACCAGATCTTCATATCAAGCCAGCTCCCACCCATCCCGCGCCAAAGTCTTGATTCTAGGAGCGGCCGGACGCTACGAACGGGGCGCTCCTGGTCTTCCTACTAGGAACAAGGACGCGCGTCACAAGACGGGCATCGCTACTATAGTACCCAAACACTCCATGCCATAAATGCCTACATTGATCCCCAAAACCACCCCTGGCCGTTTCTCGGCAGTCCTGGCAGTCCCAACCAGCTCGTGTCTGGGGTCAGAAACGATCTTTCGATGCCACACGGCCGAAGTGTCCGGCCCGGCCCGGCCCGGCGAGGCGCTCCACGTTGACCGGGATGGCATATCGCTGCTCCCTTTGGCAGTGGAAGAGCAAATACAACCTGGGCTCGCCACGGAGCGAGTCCGAGAGACGTGTGTACGAACCCCCGTCTCGACGGTTGGTTCGAAGCAAAAGGCTTCTGTCAGGGCCGAAGGTCCAGACTGGGAGTCTACCGAAGACCCGATTCCAAGCACCATCTCTTTGATTCCCATTCGGATTCCCACCAACGGTCGAATGGAAGTCCAAGGACATCCTGACGAGTTCGAACTCGATCGGGAAGAGTCGACTTCAAATGCCACACGATCCACACTCCGATCAACTATAGGTCCTATTTACCGTCACATATATCACCTCTCTTGGAAGAGGTTCGCTCCTTTCGATCCCATTGCATGCTACGGGACGTATATGGGACAAAAGTGCGGACAGAAGTGACCCATCCCACCCCAGCCGCGGCGCTTCAACGACCCTGGAGGGAAACCCTCCGTTGACCGCGCCTCGACAAGCTTCACCGGATGGTTGTTTGGAGGGCTCCCAGGAATCCGCGAGTCCAGTACTGCCCCGAGTTGCGAGTCCAGTCGATCAAAAAGAGTCTGACGAGTGGTGACCCGAGTTCAGGACCCTCCTTAACTTCTGTCGGTCCCACTTTGCTCTTCTTTCCTGGACTTCTACGTAGGTCGGGTGTGCTGCGACGCAGCGCCCCCGCACCGCACCCCGATCGCGGCCCGGCGGAACAGGCGGAACCGGGGCACAGGAAGACCACGCCGACCTGCGCGACGAAGTCTTCGGACCTCGACAGTCGGACGCGGTCGTCGGGGAGCTGATTCGAGGCGCCAAGAGGCCCACCCCACGAGCGGTGTGAATTTCGGACAGAGGACATCAGAGGAGCCCTCTTTTTGGGTGGTCACGCAGCTTCTGCCGGAGTTGCAACCTCATGGCTGAATTCCCGAACTCAGAGCTCCTTCGGCAGAAAGTCCAAACATGTCCATGACATTTTGGTCCCCCCCCAGTCGTCCCGAGTCTTCAGCTCCGGCATCGTCCGTGCCGTCGATGGTTCCGACGACGGTTCCGGCGACCGCGGTCAGGCGCGCAGTAAACGGCCAAGAGGCTTCATGAAGAAATACCAGCAGACGCCAGTAATGTACCTTAGGTCTGAGGCCATCGCTCTTAGGTCTGAGGCCATTGCTAGTCATTAGGTTCTTCAGACCATTCTTTAGGTTCCTTTACTCCAGAAACGACGCCCGAGAAATGAGTCCGCGAGAAGCTGATTTCGGGAAGACAGAAGTGCTCGTGCAAACATGGTTGACAAGGTTCCCCCCAGACGTAGAGGTGACTTCCAAAGCTTTCAACAAAGGAGAGTTGATGATCATTAATATCATTGATGTTCCTATTTCGTGTCAGAACCCACCATACCTGTGAGAGCGGCAGTTCTTCAGCCTGATACCCCATCTCCAAAAAGATCCTCCAAAAAAGGCCACCAAAAGGCAACCTTTCGAAACAACACCTCCTCATTCTTTCCACACCGGAGGACGCTCCAGGTGCGAACCCCCCCCTCCAGCCGGCCCCTCGACGTTGGACCATCTGCCGAGCAGCTGAAAGAGGTCTTTGAGGACTTCCCCGGGACTAGGTTCCAGGACCACGGAGAAGGACAGCTCTTTGAAACTCTCTCGAAAGACCCCAAAGGCTCCAAGCCGCCTCGTTTTCTTTGACCAAAACAGAAGACGTCCAAGGAAAGCCAAGCAAAGAAAGCCCCAATCTCAGACCTTTGACCTGGCCGATGTTAAAAAGTGGTTGACCTGCTAACAGCAGTGAAAAACACGAACTACCCTTTATGGGTCGAAACCACCACCCTTTTCTTTGCTTGGTAAATTACAGGCTCATGTTTGATGGGGCCATCTATTTGTTCGCGCCAACCGGAGAGATATCCCGTCAACCGGCGAAACGGGAAGGAACCCCCAAAACATCGGAGAGCGGTCTGCGATGCGGACCGCGGATCCCAACGACGTGTCTGTCTGCTCGTCGCGTTGCCGCTCCTCGACGCTCGTTTTTGGCCGAGCTCAGTCAATGCTCTCTTTGTTTCTAATAGCAAAAATGGTTACTACTAGTAAGGCACTTGTTACTACTAGCGATGCACTTGTTACTACTAAAGCCTTTTCTTTGCAGCCACAACGAAGATCCATTTGTGAAGAGGCCACAACGATCAACCTCCACCGTCCCTCCCTGCCCAGAGATGATGGAGGCCATCGCTATTAGAAACAAAGAACAAGACAGAAAAAGGGAGAAAGGTTTAACATATTCCAGGACCCTCCCCTCCTGGACCGGGGTGTCCTGGCTGGACTACCCCACACGGATCCGGCCGTTCGGCTTCCGATTCCAGGGCACCCCGCCCATGTCGGGTCCTGGTAGGGTCACCCTCCCTCCCGTCTGAGCTGGACTAGCCCAATTCGAGCGTCGGGAGGTGGGTGAGGTCATATGCCTGGCGAAGCCGTACGCTCCAGGTGTACAACAACCTCAGTTGGCGAAGAGTTGGAGAAGTTGAGATAGGCTGAGATCGGTTGGGTGCTGGGTATAGGTTGGGTGTATCCAGCATGCAGGTCGGTCGCAGGCCGAGATCCCAACAAATCGTGATGTGATAAGACCCTAAGACCCTCCGACCCACCGGCTCTACTGGTATACTACACGAATTGTTTCTATACTAGCGAACCTTGTTACTACTAGTAAGGCACTTGTTACGAACGTAGCGATGCACTTGTTACTAGTAGCTTCTTGTTACTACTAGTAAGGCACTTGTTACGAACGAAGCGATGCACTTGTTCCGAACGAAGCGATGCCCTTGTTTCTACTTGGATATCACACTAAGACCACACCGGCGATTCCTGACTTGGATTTCGGGTGGTTTCGGTTCCGGCCGTTGATGACATCAAAACCCAGGACGAAGGAGAGAGAATAGCGAATTGAGGAAGAACTCTTCCCTACGAATTCCTGGCCCACCATTTCTTTCATCGGCGACATAAACCCCCTGGCCCAACCAGCTCTTTCACTCAGGAAGGAAAAAACGGCAAACCCAGACTGTTCCCAATTGGTTCTTTCCCTGACGTCTCCTCAGATAAATGCGGGACGAGCCCCCTAAACCAAACCGTCCGTCCGTCGTTTCTGCAGGAGTTCGGATGGCACGGCGAAACCAAACCCTCCTTTGGTCGTGGGGATGGATGAGGAAGGAGGAAGGACCTGAAGTCACTCGGAAAAAAACCCGGAGCCTTTTCCAGCAAAAGAACAGGTCTTCTCATAGAAACACCATGCTTTTGCTAGGAACAACCTATAGGTCTTTGATCACTTGTGGGGCCGGACCGGGCTTTCAGAAACGAAACGCCTTGCCTCCAGTGCCGGACCGGACTTCGGTTCACCTCCCTGGGTTCGGAGGGGTGAGGGACCAGGTGAGGTGACAAGGGACATTGAGGGACCAGGGGAGCAGTAACTTGAAAAAAAACTCTAAGCAAAAGACTTCAAGGGACTTACCAGTCTACCAGCGATGGCCTCTAACCTAGAAGCGATGGCCTCCAATGAATGGTATTGTTGTTCCTAGATTCAGTCATAACAATGGTCTGACAACCAAACAAACACCAACATGACCTCGTTTCAGAACCCCTGATTTTTTGCCCCAGCAACACACCAGTTCGGATGCTTCCTCCCACCCCAAAAACCACCCCAAACGCGAAGAAAGTCGGATGCCAAGCCCTCGCGGCCGAAGCGCTCCAAACCGAGCGGCCGCTCCACGTCCGTTGACGTGCACTGCCAGCGGCCCGGCGCCAAGGTCATCGGCTCCTCGGCGCCACGCGTCGAGCGTCGAGGGTCGGACAGGCGCAGTTGCTGGAGCGATGCATTTGTTTCTAGTAACAAGTGCATCGCTAGTAGTAACCATGTTTGCTATTAGAATTAAGTTAAAAGTAAATTAGATAATAGCGAACCTTGTCACTACTAGTAAGGCCCTTGCTCCTAGTAGCGATGCACTTGTTCCTTCATGGGTAGCAAAGTCTGATGATTTGAATGAATTAATGGCTCTCTTTTTGGGCGGAACATGAGAACGGTGAGTTTCACCCTGTTCCTTGAGACCGGTGTCCCCGGTGTCTCCGTCGACGGGAATAGAAGGGAATCCCAAGAGTTACATCAGGATCAATGCGGGCGAAGGTGGGTACGCCCGGGGCGTACCCAATGGCCCCCAAACATGTCCATTGCTACGGGTCGACCTGGCCGGTGGATGCCCTGGCCGGTGGGTCATTGACCGAGGAGTCATGACACCTCTGGAAGAGTCGAGTTTTTCAGACAGGAACCGCAACTAGTACAAGCTACACTTTGCAATGGTCAGTCTCCTCCTCATTCCAGTGGTCACTTTGCATTTTGGCCCGGAACAATGACGCATTGGCCGCATGGATGAGCAGGTTCTCTTTGAACCCAGCCAAGATTCCAGGTCTGCTCGCAGCAAACCCTTTGCCACGAAATCGGCACACAGGTATCCCACGGGCATGGCATACTCGGGCAACAAATCCTCCGGCACAATTCTCCTGGCCCTACCTTTCCTTAGAGAACAACTGTTTGCTGGAAGAAAAATCACAATTTTGTGAGCAAAGCGCAGTCTAAGTCTCTTGAGAGTTGTTGGACTATGGACGCCCTGCTTGGTGACTTGTTGGAGAGTGATAGATTCCCAAAAAGGATTCAGCGGTAGAAAACAAATCATCTAAAGTTATTGCCAAGCATCGCCTTTCCTTTGGCTTTTGGCGCGGCCCCTTGCTTTGCCTTTGCTGCAGCTTTGCCTTTCCCTGCGCCTTTCTTCGGCACCCCTTTTTTGGGAGCTGCTTCCGCTTTCGGCAACGCCTCTTTCTTCGGGACAGTTGGCGGCGCTTTCCTCTTTGGTGGCATCGAAAACGGTCAAAAAGAACTCAAGAAGTCCTTGCTTGAGCCATCCTGAGTGACCAAAATGGCTCCACCGCAACAAATGCACCCAACTTTGAGCCATTTTTCCTAGTGATCCATAGGCTTTCGCCAGAGACTCACGTGCCTTGAGTTGCACCCCCCCCACTCATTACAAAAAGTACATGGCGCAATTCCAATTGAGGAGAGCGCCATGAAACCCAAAGTCACATTCAGGCCACATCCACCCTCAACCCATGAGGTGATGACCTGACTCGAGTCAGGTCTTGAAACATTCGGTAGCCCTCTATAGATGGTTTCAACTGGTGAACAAACAAGCAACATGTTGCGCCCCAAGAATGCTGCGCTATGCTGCAGAAACCTTCTTGGCCCCTCTCAACACTACTCCCCCCACAGTTCTGCAGCCCTCGGAAAGCACCTGTTGTTCCTTCCACCCCTTCTAGGCGATGGTGCCAGGCGCGGACCGCGCAACCGTTTTTCTGTGTGCACAACCACTCGGCCAACGAGACCAGATCCCCCCCAACCTCTGTTTTGACATGGGAGTACACTCTGACGAACACATCACATAGTGACGTGGATGGCATGGGCCTCTTGGAAGACTACTTTCCTCTACAAACACTGGGTTTTCCACTTCCATGTTAGTGAGTCGGAGTGTAAGCCTTTTCAATCAGTTCGGCAGCGTTTCCGTGTCCTCGTAGCACACGTTCACCTGGGAGCCGACCAAGTTTCGTTCGACGGCCGCCCCTTTTCGTGTGTGTTTCGGACGGGAGGATGGGAAAGGAATTCGGCCAGAAACCCCTTCGGACCAGTGTGGGTCCAAGAGAAAAAGAGTCTGTTCTGATGACTTTCCCCTTCTTTTTTTGCGACGGTGGGAAAGGGCAGTGCTCGGACCATGACGGGTGATATATTGTATGTCACCCTCCAACAGGTGCTTCCTACATGCCGTACACACTGTACACATAGACATCCCGTCATTGGCCCATACATGACTACATCCAGCCTGCTTCAGGACTGGTCCCTCGTCCACCTCCGCCGGAGGCGCGACCTCCGCCACTGGCGCCACCGGTTAGTCGACTTCCGCCGCGGAAGACTCCGCCGCCGAAGCCGCTCGATCCGCCCCGATCAGTCCACGAGTCGATCCGTTCGACTCGACTCCTTCCTGGGCAAGGACACGTAGCAGTCCTCATGGACCAGGACCACCACGGCATCCATCCAGGTCACTCCGTCCAAGGTGCCGCACGTCGCCTGCGACGCGGGCCGAGAAGAAGCATGCTGGAAGCAGCCGGGATCCGAATTCTTGAACCATGCCTTGAGGTCAATAGAACCGTGAAAAAACACAGGTATTATCCATATACCAGCACCGAACCCAACAGGTCTCCTGGACTGGAGGGTTGGGAAGGGCCCTAGGCCCGGTCTCTGACCGGTCGGAGGTGCTGGGCCTTGTTCGTTTCACCTGTCACCTCTGCCTTCAACCCCAAAATTCCGGAGGATCTTCCACCGTGACCACCATGACATCCCTTGCTGAAGAGCCGAAACCGAGCCGTTTGGGTTCCGACAGTCCGAAATCGCCCGTCGCGACGAACGTCTCTTCGCCGACGAACGGCTCCCATCGCGTGGCGAAGAGATCGAGGCCTTGGGACCTCGATGTGTTGGCTGGCGAAGATGGCGAACGGACCAGACTCAAAACTGATCCGTCTCCGCTTTTGGAACAGGAAGAACCTTTTCTTCGACCAGGTGTTTTGGAACGGACAACGAAAACACGTCCTAACTTTCCACCGTCGTTCCGCATTGCTGTTCCTTCCTCGTCTCGGACCGTGGCCTCGTCGGGATCGCCCAAGTCTGGAAACCTCGGAAGGTGTCGGAGACCGGTGCAACGACGACTTGAGGACGAGCGAATCGACGACGGAGGTTCCAAGTCATTCTTTCGGCCCCAAAAGACCAAGAAGCAAGACTTCCCACAGCACAACCCTGGCACTTCCCACATCTCTAGACTCAAACGACTTTTATTTTAGGGTGGATCAAAAGAGAAGACCTGAAGCTGGCATTGCTTCTCATGCCGGATGTGTCCACTGGGACACTAGGGAGTTTTCGCTGTTGGAAGCATCAGCCCCAGACTGAGCACCTCTGAACCAACACAGTGGCTTTGGCCATGCAGATCTCTGCGAACGACTTCCCGTCGGCCTCCATGAAACTCATGGAGGCAAGGACTGTTTGGGTGGAAAGGCAATCATCCTTGCAGGAATTCTACAACATGATTCTCATCATCACAGGATGAATGCGAGGGTCGAAATACTTTGGAAACCTGAATACCTGAAGATAGAATAGTTCCAGACCAGTGGCAGCAAACTTTCACTTCCTCTAGAGTTTCTGGCTGGAGGCCCACGCTACATCACATTCGTTCCTCATATGGCCGCAAATGCACAGTGCACCACCCATTCCCAACGACCGACCAAACACACTCATCCCGAGGATGTCGAGCATTCTTTTAAATCCAAAACATTCAAAAACTCTTTCTGTTTCTTGCGTTGTCTACTTCAAAGCCGTTTCTGGAGAAAAAACACTGAGACATATTCCATCGTATTCCCATGTCTTGCGTTCGAGGTGCGGTAGCCAAGAGTAACCGACCTCGGGCTCTGGGGCGGTCATTCTTGGAGCCCGGGCTTGTTGTACAGACGGGGGCCGGCCGGTTGAGATGTCGATCCGGCGATGGGTCAAGACCTGAATTGGTTCTAGAAAATGAGGAAGGCGGATTGCGAGGGGTGTCAACTGACCAACGTCCATCGCTTTCCTGTCGTGGCCATACGAAAGCGTTGCTTTCACGCGTGGCGTGTGGCTGGAAACTTTGTCAAGGTTCTTTTTTTGAAGGCAAGTGCTGAAGTGCTGCCCGAACCAGTTCACGGTGGCAGCTGCGAGAGCGTGGACCATGGAGCCGCTGGCTGGCAAAAACAAGTTCCGTGGCAGCCCAAGGGCTTGGCGTCGTGCATGCCATCGGGCCATCCGGTCTTAATCCGGCTACGCCTTAACGCAGGTACATCATGCTCTTTTGGTTCATGCGTGAGCCGCGTCCTTGCAAAGCTTCATGCGTGAGTCGCAGTGAGACGTGCCATCTAAGCCAATGATGCCTCAGTGCGTGAACAAAAGACAAGACTCAACAGGGAAGTCACGTCCATGTCATATTCCTTTACGGGCCGCAGCACGCATTGCTGGCAGAAACGCGGCGCTGGCAACTTCATGAGGAACAGAAGGCTTGTTCAAACTGTTTTGCTCGATGTGGGGTTGCTCCAGGTCGCCATCGCGGCTTCAAAAGCATTTTGGTCTCGCGCCCTTGCCGCGAAAATGGACACTGGACAGTTCATTGAGGGTGGACTGGGTGCAAGGCTGGTTTTTTGTGCCCAATGAGGTCCAGAAGTGTTCGACTGACCAACTCGTCGGTTTTGAAGCTGGGGTTCTGTTCCAGGTGGTTGCCACCGGTTTTAGCAGCTGTCCTGCCGGGGTCCTGCCCAACAGAACCCCCATCCGTCCCGGTTTCCTCACATCACCAAGGGTCCTGCCCGGCCGTCTTTTAAATCCACTTTTGGTAGGGTGAACATATTGCATACATGATCTCCCGCATGAAGAATCAATTTTCCTACTAGTAGCAAGAAGCTATTAGGTTGGAGGCCATCGCTAGTAGTTCAGTTTCACAAGACAGGCCATACTCGTGTTTGCTAGTCTCGGTGCCACAGTGTGTGTTGAGTCGATGGTGAATCCTTCCCCAAGGAAATGCCAAGGAAACACCAAAATGGCAACTTCTGTAGCTTCACAAAGTTGCAGGTGGGTTGCCATGCGTCAAGCTGGTTGCGAACTTAGCCTAGGAACGCCTAGCGAGGGTCGAAAGAACGGGCAGGAGTGCCTCTGCTGCACAAGGTCACATGGGCAAAGACCAGCACACCACCACCGGCCCCTGGTGGTTGACACACCGGTTGACACACTCACCTGAACACGAAACCGGCGAGGCGAAAACCCTCCAGATCCGCCGTGCTGGCTCCATGACGCAACAACCCATGCCGAACTCGTCACTGGGGGGGGGGTCACTCCCACCTGTGGAACACGGGAACACGCGGACTTCGGACCGCCTGCCCCGTGCCGCGGTGGTGGTGCGGCACGCGCCCCGCGTCGTGATTGCTCGAGCACGCGTGCCACACGGTGGGTGGTCCGCCGCTTCAGCGGTGGTTGCGACTGTCTTCGAGGCACGAGGACCTGATCGCCCTTCTGCCATGGATAGACCTCCAACTCGGGAGCTCCCAGGACCTCCTGATCGAGAAGGCGGCGACCCCGCTCGCTCGCGTTTTTGCGAGAACGGGTGGATGTGTGGAGGCCAGCCACGTGGAGAAGGGTTTTTTTCGCGTGGAATCACCAGTCATTGGAGAACGAATTGGCTGGAGCAAGACCTGCAAAACCATCTTTAAGCAACGCCAATGAGGAAATTCTCAACTTTAGAACAGGTCCCTCAAGCCCAACGCAGCTATTTTCGACGACTGCAGCAAGGTAAGAAACCTTGCGGCAGAAGCATCATCATTCGTACTCACTCCGTTTCCCTTCCATCCAACGACTGCTTGGTGGTGAAGACCTGATTCCAGGAGAAGAACCCATTCGCGGACATGTTTCATGATTGTTTTTTTTTTCAGAACACGTTACCACCAGCGTGCGCTAAAACTGTAAATATTTCACTGTATTCTTGCATATCTAGTAGACTAGTGCAAAAACACTATATTTCAGTGAGTGTATTATACTAAATGCTTCAGTGTCTTCAGTGTCACATAACCAAAAAACCAAAAAACCCAAAAAAACAAAAAAACTAAAACAACCAACCCAACCAACCCAAGACCCTCTGCAATCCATGAGTCTGTTTTTTTTGTTGTTGTTTTTTTAGTTTTTTTGGTTTTTCAACAGGTTTTGGACACTGCACTCAGGAAAACCAAAAAAGCAAAAAAAAACAAAACTGCAGACCCCACTGGGGCTCTTGTCTGACTTTGTGGACATGTGGTCTGCAGTTTTGTGTTTTTTTTTATTTTCGAGGTTCTGGCCATCTGGAGCAGACCATGCAAAAACCTTGAAAATCCAAAAAAACAAAACTGCAGACCCCATTGGGGCTCTTGTCTGAATCTGTGGACATGTGGTCTGCAGTTTTAGTTGTCTCCTGTTTAGCCTTTCCTGGTTCCCTCTCCATGGGTCTGATTTTTTGTATTTTCGTTGGTCTACCAAAAAAATACAAAAACAAAAAACATAAAAATCAGACCCGTGTCTCCTGTCTAGCCTCTACTGGGTCCCCCTCCATGAGTCTGAACTTGTTGGACCTATGTCTTCTGTCCAATCTCTCCTGGGTCCCTCTCCATGGGTCTGATTTTTTTTGGCTGGTCTGCTAAAAAAGAAATAAACACTATTTCTTATTCATTTCTACATAGTTATTAACTCAATTCTAATTTAATTCTATGAAATTTGACTTAAATACAATTTCACTAAATTCTAAATCAATATTTATTCTAATTGAATGTGTTTCATTTCTATTTTTACTGATAATAAAATTGGATCTACATGAATTTTAAATTGAATTTATTTTGAATATGTAATAGACTTCTATTTTAATTCTAAATTGAACCCAATTAAATTCTAAATTAAGTTTATGTAATTTTAAAATACATTATAATCAAATTATACTTCAATTTTATTCTAATTTAATTTTGTTGTAATTGACATTATCTTTGATTGTTCTGGATCTAATATTAAATTCAAAATTGAATTTATATGTGAATTTGCAATATATTTCCAATTTAATTCTAAATTGAATATATTTGCATTCTATTTATTGGAATTCAAATTAAATTTGCAATTTTCATTAAATTGAATTATTTGTAACCTAATTTTATATCAATATTGCAATATTGTTCTATTAATTACTTCCTAGGTTAAATATCTTTAATTCAATTCTACCTTAGGTCTAGGTCAATTTCAATTTGAATAATGGATTTTGATTTAATATTGTTCATTCAATTCCAATTGAATTCCAATCTATTTTTCATTTAATTCTATTTCATTTTGTTTCGCATTAAAAATTGTAATTTTGTCTATTCCAATTGATTTGTTAATGATTTCTAATGTTAACGTCTTTATACAACTTAAATTCAAATGACCTATATATCTAATTTTCTAACTTGATTCCAATTCAATGCAAATGGAATTCTAATTGAGTTTTGCTTCCATTCTAGAGAATGAATATTATTGGTGGCATGAATATATTTCATTAAAGAAAGAATATACTTCCATATTGGAAACAATTCATAAAAATCTTTTATGTTCAAAGCAAGATCAATTCCCTAGAAGAATTTCATAAAATCCAAATTTTAATTCAACACTAATGAAATATTAGAATTGAATCTAAACTATATAATAATGAAATTAACGGTAAAATCGAATTATAATTTGGCTTGCATTGAATCCCAATGAAGGACATTTGACGCAAAATAGAATTGAAATATAATTGATCCTGAATTTACATATAGATTTGAATTTGAATTGAATAAGAATTAAAATAGAATTTAGTTATTTAGGATTTATAACTATTTGCCTTCTAATTCTGATGTATTTACCCAACTGCATTTAATAAGAGCAATACAATTCCCATTCTAAAAGAAAGAAATATGATTTTGCATGGAGACTATTTGGTAAACACCTAGCTTATGGATTTAATCATTTCTATAATTCATAACTGAATGAATAAATATGTTTACCAATTGCATATAGAGCAGGAAATTTACAAATTTCACAACCCTATTAAAAAGATATCATTCACCATAAAGAACAAAACCTTACAAAAGAACAACTTTCAATAGCCTATCAATGCTTACAAAAGAACATCTTTCACAAGCCTCGGCCATCATCTAGGTTCAATATTGCCAGACCCTGTAGAATAAAAATATTTTTGCTATGTAAATCCTTCTATTTGGTGGGTTGCTATTAATTAAACACACTAGTGCATATCAGTAAGATTGCTATAGAATCTCTATTGAAAAATTGTTGTTTGTTGGAAGTCCACCTGAGAAGTTTTGGCTTTGGTATGAGCTGAAAACTTTAGACAGCAAGATTTGGCAGCTTGAAATGCTTAAAAAAGTGCACGCTCACAGTGACGAGCTCTTTTTTTCCCACATCCCTGCATCCCCCAAGAATCATATCCAAATCAGCCGGAAGATTTGGTTCCAAACGCTTTTCACCCAAGGTCATTTCAACTACATGATTTGTTCATGTTCAAGATTAGTCCGAATGAACACATTCTTTCCTTGATGCCATCTCCTCCTCAGCCATTCCCATCTCCTGAGACTCCTAATGTAGACTCACATGTAATATATTTATATAAATACACCACTCCCACAATATGAGTCAGCGAATATGAATCAACAGTCAGCCATCTCCATTCTTCCTCCCAGCAACCATGCTCCGCCATGCTCCGTGCCGATGACGCCGAGCGTCGTCCGTGTACCGTAGCCGCCGCGCGCGGCTGGGGCACCCGCCGCTGCCGCGGAGCTCCGCGAGGCGCGGGGCGTCGGCCGCGCCGAGCCCGGCGTCGTTGGCTTCGTAGAAGGCGAAGAGGTGGCCGCTGGGTTTCCAGGAGCTGGGCAAGGTGAGGCCTGCCGGAAACAGGTTTTGGTGGAAGAGATGCAAGCAGTTGTTTCATTAACGGTCTTTTCTGGGAGCTGATGGTCCTGGAGCCGAACATTGAAGAGCCGATGCTCTCGTGTAACAGACCGCTCTGGGGCGCGGAGCGAATTACACGTATCGAGTCTGACCGGGTTGCCATGGACATACCTTGTGAATTGCTGTGAACCCTTAAGCTCCAAGAAGGGCTGTTCGTTGGGGGATGTGAAGGAGGGCCACATGCCAGCAGACCGGCCATTTTCGCCACGAATCCCTTGGCGACGAGAGGGTCATTACAGTACATCTTCTTTTCTAATGTACGTCAACTTCACTTCACTACAGTTCTCGAGTTTTCAGTGCACTAATCCCAAACACTCCATGAGACTGCCATAGGACTGCCGCCCCAGCCAGACCCCCCAAACGCACCACCCCTGGCCGGAACTTGAAGGCAGTCCGTCTGGCAGTCCCATGGATCGTCGTGTCTGGGAAGGAACTCGGCCATGTACGACTCCATAGGCAGGTCTTTCAGCCATTCAGACCAGCGACGGATGGAGCCACCGGAGGGAGCCCACCCACAGGGTCTGTGTGGGAAGCACCGTTCGTGACTCCAGAAGCTCCCGATCCGGAAGCGGAAGCGGAAGGGCCCGGTCGCCCCAAACCGGGAGTCGTGGCGGTGTCCGGTTTAGTGATTTGCTTTGGGGGTGCTTTCTTGAAAATTCGGGGATTCTTGGAGAGATAGTATAAGAATGTATAACACCTTCATGGTTTGTTAAAGACCGGTGAGTCTTTTTTTTTGGGGGGGGGGGGTGACGCTTTGAGGGTGCTTCATTTGGCGGAACTCCCTTGGAGGATGGTGTGCTTTCATCGGCTTACGACCATGACCCAAGTGTGATCCAAGTGGAACATGGTGGTTCGGTTGCAGGGCGACATCTTCAAACATCGTGACAAATCCTTGACCTTATACTGATAACCGGATGGGTTTTCTGAGAAACAAATACCTATTAGGTGGAGGATCCTGAAGAAAAACACCCACTAGTTGACCTCCAAGACATGTTTCCAACCATCCTGGAGACATCTTCCCCCAACCAAAACCGACTCATTATCCGCCGCTCGTGCTACCACTATACTGGGCTTGAACTCTCAGAGAGCCGGGCCGAAAACCCAGATCCCTGAGATGCCATCCCTTCAGCCCCTGGCGTTTCTTTTCTGCCGATTCATCGTGACAGGCCACGCGACGCCACGCGACGGCACTGAGAGGAAGTGATGGTAAGATCTTAGATCCCATCAAGGTGATATGGTATATAGAGGCCCTCCAGAGTCTAGATCCCGTATTCCCATCGCCACAGACTTCATCCCTCCCCAGATGAGGAATTCTGACCATCATAGGAGTCTTGTAGAAAGAGAAGCTGCCAACCTATAATCCAGCTCCTTCTGTGTTTCGGAGACTCTTCTTTTTTGGTAGGATTCGTCTTTCAAGGTGCTCTGAAACGTTCTGTTTTCAAAAACACGAGATTTTGCAGCTGACCCTCCATGAGATCCTCCGCCCGCGCTGCGCTTTTTTGTCCTTGCTCGCTCGCAGGCGACGCGAGCGTCTTCACCTCGCTCTCTTCAGCGGCGTTCGCGTGCTCGGCGGAGAGTTCGCGGCGACCCGGTCTCGACCCGGATTCTGCTACCTGCATGTTTTGGTCTTTGCCCAAAAACCGTTAGCAAACCGAGGGTCCGATGGAGGAACCTTTGGGTGAACTCAGTTGGTCTCAAGTTGAGGCTCCTCGCTGAGTAGAAGGGACGTTCCTTTCGAAAAAATACCACATCACTCGGCCAGGCCTCAGTGAAACATGTCTTTTTTTCCACTGGTTCTGCTGGTGGAAGGAACATCAGCGCAACCGAAGGAACTGATGAAGTGCATTGATTATATTGATTTGGATACGTTTTGGCATTGAAAACACTCCGGTCAGGGGATTCTTTGACATCCCCCTTGAATTGTCAGAACATCTGGCCCGAATCTTGGGAGAATCAGATCGGCCTGACGTACTCAAACGTAGTCCTAATCCCAACAGCCACCTATCAACCATCTGGGGATTTCATGATCTCACCACAGCAAGGGCTGCATGCCAACACCTCTGGGTAGGGACCCTCCAACATAGACAAACAAAGAGGAGAAGAGTAGATAGCAAATGATAGTATCGAAACCCTCAACACCATACGCACTTCTCATTTAAGTAGGGGAGTGCTAGTCACCCGTCTTATCTGCCAGAAGGGCGCAACGCGGTGCCGCGGTGCCGAACGCGGTGCCGGATCCGCTTCAGTCGTGGAAGTAGGGAAACACGAAGTAGTCCGAGGGCTTAATCCAGCCGCCCTCCTGCGCGGTGCGCGGCCGCGGTGGGGGGTCTTTCTGATGCCAAAACACACACCGATGTGGTCGTCCCAAAGGTTCGCCCCCCCCCCCCCCGACCGCCCGAGGGCTCCGCTGGAGGGAGAGAGACCGACCTTCCCAACAGGTTTACCCTCCCAAACATGGAAGCTAACCAGGACCCAGTCAGAGGAAAAGAGTCTTAGTTTTTGGCCCACGCTCCACTTCCATGATTTCAGGGAGTGTAGTGGGCCCGTCATCGAAGCGATTCTTAAAAGCATGGACCAAAAGGGGAAGGCTTTCCTTCAAGAAAGCCTGAAAAAACATGTTGTACTCCTAGGGCTTGTTGGACAAAAATGCTGCACACATGCTCACTATAGATGGCTTCGAGTTCGTGAGTCCGACCACTTTCGGCCATTTCGCTCCAAATCGCACCCTCAACCAGTTCCATGTCGCGATCGTGCGGGGTGCCGAAGGTGGACTCTGGAGGACGTGGTGCCCCGACGTCACGGCCCAGCCGATCCGCGGAACGGTCCACCCGCCCATGGCGTCGTTTCACTCTGAGCTGGTCAAGGATTTTCGACTTCCAAGACGAAAAAAGGGGAACGACCTGGTGTTGGTAGTGTAAAATCCTTAGTTGATTCGGGATTCAGCTCGTTAATGGTGGGCCAGGAAGCCTAGAGCAGGTTTTGTAATAGGATGTAATAGGACAACCATGGAAAAACCCGCAGCAACGGCCCGTGGAGGGAACTCCGGAGGGACGCTGTCCGCGCGCATACCACTGTAGAGAAGACACTGTGAGAGTCTCCCGCTTTCTTTCAGATCTCAAAGGGGGAACGAGAACTGGGAGATCTTCATCCCCTACAGGTCAGTTTGACCTCATTTGACTGGACCTTTTTTCATACCAAAAGCACTACGAAACAGGTCAAAGACCAGGTTGTACTGGGTCAGGCTGGACGAACGTAGGGATGACTCTCATCCGGAAAGGCCGATTCCGGTCATCCGGGCGTTTCAAGCTTAGATTGATCAGGGAGACCAGAGTCACGAAACACAAACACTGCTCCGGACCCAGGCTGTTCGGGTGTATTTGTCCCTCGGGCTCCTGGCCCACCTCCGTTTCGAAGATGCGACAGGGGTGGGTGCCAGGGGGGTCCAACTACCGAACCTGAGGATATGGGCCAGGAGCTCTAGGGTTTGATACAAGTACATAGTCAGGGGTGTCCAAAAGGTGTCTACGAACACCACCTCAACTCCCTCCGTGCTGCTGGTACAAGCAGATCTTAGCTTCACGTACACAGCAAAGCCGATCCCCTGGGAGTCCAGTCGGCTATAACCAGAATGGTCCACCTGGGTCCCTAATTTCGGGACCTTCTTTTGCTTCACCAAGGAAAAACGTCTAGTCCAACTGGACTTCACTAGACCCTTGTCATTGATGTTCGAGGTCGATATAAATCAATATAAATCAATGGTCTGGCCAGGAAGCGATCCTCTCCTTGTCGCGGAAGAAGTGCCTTGTCGCGGCCCAGTCTCTCGCCACGCGCAGGAAGCAGCGATAGAAGAGAAGGAAGTCCGCTGGAGGCATGTGCCGCGAAAATGTCACCACGAAACTTATGAAACTTACATATAGAACTTTTAGGCATATCTAATTATAATTATATTACCGGTATTAGTATAACCAGTGGATGAAGAATTTAAGAACACCAGCAACTGACATAGACAGAAAAAAGAACAAAACAACACACCACGAAGACGTTTCTTGCTAGAACCCCCCAGCGTTTTTCAGATTTCCATGGTCTTTGTTTCGATATAAAGAGGAGTCACGTGTCAAGCATGGAAGAGTTCGGGTTCCCGGCGGGTTCTTAAAGGTCGACGGGGCGGCCCGTGGCGGCCCCAACGTTCCGTCGTTCCGACGAGACTCTGACAGACTTCCATTCGGCCAGTCAACAAGATGGCTGATCGGGTTTTCTAGCGTAAAAAAGGTCCTTGGTCAAACAAGATGGTTGGACAATCCACAAGACACCGGCCATCCATCCACACGGTTTCTGCTTCGTGTCCAACGAAGCGGACTGCCTCCAAGCGAGGGCGTCAATCGGGGGTCTTCTGGTTCCGCCCCAAAAAGCGTCGCCCGCAGGATTCCGCAGGGGGTGGTGGACGACTCATGCTTTTCACACCCCAAAAAGCCCGCCCAGAGTCTGGAGGCAGGGGTACAGATGGTTCTTTGAAGGCGGTCGGAACTTTCTATGGCAAACTTGAAAAAGACTTTAAGGAACCTAGTAGCAATGGCCTCCAACCTACTAGCGAGGGTGTCTGGTGTCCAAGGAGAAAGGCGACAGGCGGCATTGATCGTCAGTCCCATGAACGATCAGCTTTCTGTTTTTGCAACTTTCCCCACCTGCGCAATTTACTCAGGGTTGCTATGGGTACATAATGGAACATATCCCTATTTGCAAAATAAAAAAGTATATGCGCGCGCACACACAAACACTATGTGTGTCCTGCATGTGGGTTGTACGGCTGCAAATGACGTGTTTGTTTTGATTGAACAGTCGTACCACGTCTCATGCTGAAAACACCTCAACCTTCAACTGAAAAATAACACCTCTCCAAAAACACACTCTTCCAAAAAGATAATGTTCTATCTTG